AAATACCACCAAAAGAAAGCTCTATTTGTGTGAAAAAAAGGACGTAAATTTCGTTTGGGTGCAGCATTGCATGACTGCGCAATTATCAGTTGAATTAGTGCAGCGCCGAGTAGCAAAAAAAGGCCTGGTCATTAAGGGGGGGTAAATCCTCTGGAGGGCAAGTGGTTAAGGAAGGAAAGAAGTGGCATGTTATGCAATGGCCAAGTCAATCACCTGACCTGAATCCGATTGAGCATGCATTTCACTTGCTGAAGACAAAACTGAAGGGAAAATGCCCCAAGAACAAGCAGGAACTGAAGACAGTTGCAGTAGAGGCCTGGCAGAGCATCACCAGGGATGAAACCCAGCATCTGGTGATGTCTATGCGTTCCAGACTTCAGGCTGTAATTGACTGCAAAGGAAGGTGGTAAAAGTCTCCAGTATTGAAGTGGTTAAAAACTCTTTCTATTGCCATGTGCCCCACTTGGGGATAATTTCCTGTCTTTGAGACAACAGAAAGTGGAGATCTCACCAAAGATAGGGAAATCCAATTCACATCACCAGAAAAAAAAAGTCCCCATTGGAACATTTGCCCTTTTGTTCCTGTTCTGGTAAAAACTCCCAGTTTGGGTGAATGTCCCCAGTGGGGGCACAGACAGCAAAAAAAAAAAAAACCTGGTAGGTTCTAACCCATATTACTCTATCCAAAATAAATATTATTTAAGAAAACTTGGCTTCCTTAGATACACTAACTGTAAACTATGCAGAACCATACAGTATTCTGCAACAGAGGCACTTTTTTTACATTGAGGTTAGTCGAATTAAGCATTCAAACTCAGCGAATGAAAATGAACATTTTGCAGCAATTTTTATGCAACACACGGCATCACCTAATATAGCTGCATAGTAGACAAGAGTGAACAAAGTCCATCAAGTTCAAAGTGAGCTGTAGAGAGCTATTCGAAATGAGTTTTTGCATTTTGCAAAAGGGTAATGTAAACGAGCTCTTAGGCCTCATTCACACAGTATTTTAAGGCCAGCTGCAGTGAGAATCCAGTGTATTCCTGCTGCTAGATTCAGTGGATGTGGTTAGTTGCAGCCTCTTTGTCTGTACAAAGCAATGAAAGGTTGACAACGGCCACTGCTCTCCACTCACGCTTACATGTAATTGCACATTGAGCGATTACCTGTGGTTAAAATACTATGTGAATATTGTTTAACCACTTGCCATTCAAGCCAATTTTGACATTTTTCACATACATGTTAAAATCTGCATTTTTTTTTTTCTAGAAATGGACTTAGAACACCCAAATATACATTTTCTGAAAGCAGAGGCCCTGGAGAATAAAATGGTTGTTGCTGCTGTGATATTTTTTTTGTCATACCATTTTTGCACAGCCTATTAACAAATACAAATTTTCAGGAAACATATGTTTACCCACAACAACCTGATACAAAATAATGTTCTTTAGCAAGAAACATACATTCCACATTAATAATTATCCCAAAATGTGTGTGTGCTATAAGCACTTAATTCTCCACTCTTCCTACCACTCCATCCCCCACAGCTTTTCCTCCTGTACCACTACCCCCTCCCTCCTAGATTGTAAGCTCCAAGGAGCAGGGCCCTCATGTATCGCATTGTATTGTTACTGTACTGTCTCATGTATTGTCTCCCATTGTAATGTACAGCGCTGAGCAAACTGTTGGTGCTATATAAATACTGTATAATAATAAATAAAAATTCTGACATCAAATTGGATTCTGGCATTGTCCCTGCTTCTTCTTTCTGGAGGCTGCCATTTTGCTGAAGTCCACAGCCTCGAAGCAGCAGTAAATCTTTAGGCTGTCAGATTGGCCTCTACATTTTTTGGCACAGTGCCTTAAAATAGAGAGCAACTGAGAGAGCGTACTACTAGATTTTAAATAGTATAGGCACTTATTTTTAATGTTTTACATAGCTATACCTGCAAAGGGGACAACCTGAAGAGATTAAGCAGTACTCAATTTTCTAACTTAAGTTCCACTTTAAATGTAATACAGTGCACACAAACAATTTAAAACCCAATTTCAGTAAAACATAAGAGATGATGATGCATCAAGTAAACAGATACCAAACATGTCAAGATTTAAAACTGCACACACCTGTGAAATGGCAACTAGGGTACCTAAAATTATCCAAAGGACATGCTTTAAAAGCCTTCACAGGTTACCAAGTTAGAGAAACACAAGCTCTGGCGCTAAAATTATTGTTCTTGCTCTGATATTTGTTGCAAAAAAAAAAAAAAAAAAAATCACATGTAGTACAATTGTTGTGCTGAATCGATGTGCGTGTTCGCATTTGCATGTCAACATAGCATTGAAACCGGAAGTGGCAAACTTCTTGTCGCTTCAGACTATTTGTGGAAGAAAAAAATTGGAGAGCGATGTTGCTTCACCTTCTCTGTGGGCAACTGACCTGACTGCCTGCAGCAGACCTGGGCTTCCTGGTGGAGCTGCAGCCACGATCCTGGTATAATCACTTCCCATCTAGGACATTTATATACATATACTGGAAGGGAAAGAGGTTAGCAAAATTAGAGCAAATGCTGCTAGCTTGTAAGCTCTTAGAAGCAGGGCCCTCCTAGCCCTCTTGTATTGTTGCTATACAGTCTCCCTTTATATTGTAAAGCACTGTGCAAACAGTTGGTTAACCATTTTAACACAATGGCTAAATGGTTAGCACTTCCATCAGGCAACACTAGTGTCGTTGGTTCGAATCCCAACCACTGCACCACCTGCCTGGAGTTTGCATGTCCTCCCTGTGCCTGCATGGGTTTCCTCTGGATACACCAGTTTCCTCCCACACGCCAAAGACATGCGGATAGGTCAATTGACTCCTGTCTAAATTAGCCTCTGATGTGTATGAATGTTAGGGACCTTAGATTGTACGCTCTTCTTTGGTTCAAACCCCAATCACGGCACTGCCTGCCTGGAATTTTCACGTTCTCTCTGTGCCTGTGTGCGCTTCCTCCCACATGTTAAAGACATACTGATAGGTTAACTGGTTCCCAAGTCTAGATTCACACCTATGCATTTTCTCCTGCATTTTGCAGAAACGCACAGTCCACTTAACATGATTTCCTATGGGACAGGTTCACATCTCCGAGCTTTCACAGGGTGCGTTTTTTGGAAAGGGTCCAGGACTTTTTTTATACTTAAAACATGGCATTTTTGGTTCTATATACTTCAATGGAGACGCTGCAGAAAAGCATGTAGTGCATTTTTGATGCATTTTAATCTGCCCAGCAACAAGTTAAAAAAACAAAAGAAAAACCGCATGTGCAAAAAGCACTACAGAAACAGATCAAATGCAAACTGCATAGGTGTGAACCTAGCCTAAATTAGCCTGTGATATGTATGAATGTGAGTTCAGGACCTTACATTGTACACCCCTTGAGGGTTAGATTGTACGCTCCTCTTTAGTTCGAATCCCAACCAAGGCACCACCTGCCTGGGGTTTACATGTTCTCCCTGTGTGGGTTTCCTCCGGGTACTCCGGTTTCCTCCTACACTCCAAAGACATGCCGATAAGTAAATTGGTCCTAGTATATGTATGTATGAATGTGAGTTAGGGACCTTAGATTGTACGCTCGAGGGTTAGATTTTTCGCTCCTCTTTGGTTCGAATCCCAACCACGGCACCACCTGCCTGGGGTTTACATGTTCTCCATGTGCAGGTTTCCTCCGGGTACTCCAGTTTCCCGCTACACTCCAGAGACATGCCAATAGGTAAATTAGCCCTAGTATGTATGAATGTGAGTTAGGGACCTTAGATTGTACGCTCCTTGAGGGTTAGATTGTACACTCCTCTTTGGTTCAAATCCCAACCACGGCACCACCTGCCTGGGGTTTACATGTTCTCCCTGTGTGGGTTTCCTCCGGGTACTCCGGTTTCCTCCTACACTCCAAAGACATGTCGATAAGTAAATTGGTCCTAGTATATGTATGTATGCGAGTTAGGGACCTTAGATTGTACGCTCCTCTTTGGTTCGAATCCCAACCAAGACACCACCTGCCTGGGGTTTACATGTTCTCCAAGTGCGGGTTTCCTCCGGGTGCTCCAATTTCCCGCTACACTCCAAAGACATGCCAATAGGTAAATTAGCCCTAGTATGTGTATGTATGAATGTGAGTTAGGGACCTTAGATTGTACGCCCCTTGAGGGTTAGGGACTGATGTGAATGAACATCATATGTAAAGCGCTGTGGAAATTGACGGCGCTATATAAGTACCTGTAATAATATACATCCTGTATAATAATGAGTTGACTGAGCATAATCCCAATCATATCTTCTATAATTTTCTATCACCTGTGCAATCAATACAACAGCAGCAATCTCTTCTGTTATCTGCACTTTCTTGTGCCTAGCAACCAAAATATGCAACAGCTTGTGCGAGTCCACATATGCCACAGATCGTGGTACTGTGTTGAGAACGCACAGGCGTGCAGTCTAAGAAGCCGGCCCTCTAGATCATTAAATAACTGCCATGCTGTATGATCTGTCCTGACATTTCAAACATCTGATCCTTCTTACAAGGTCCACCATGCTTCTAAAGGAAGCCATCCCTGCATGGTGATCTGTCATTCCATCATGATAGGGAGCAGAAAAGTTACAGCAGGCACTGATCTATACTGCCCAAAAAACACAGAATGAAGCCTGCTCTGCTTGGCACTCACGTTTATATTAAAATCATGATGTCATGTTCAGAAATAAACAGGCACGGCCGAAATGACAGCACATAACCTTGGATGGGGAGGCTAGAAAGGAATAGGGCCCTAATAAGTGTGATCGGCCATCATATCAATGGATGGTGGGGATGGAAGGGGCACTGGGTGAGCAGGATGGATCCAAATCCCTGGGACTGTGTGATGGGGAGGGATCGGGCGCCTTGCAGAGGCCAGGTGAGCACAGCGCTGATCGGCAGCAGAAATCATGACACAGGAATATGGTGCGCTAGTAGCAGCAGGCTCGGGCTCACCTTCTCGCACAGGGTGCGCACTTGGCTCTCGTTGAGTTGCTTGCAGTCATTGAGCTGTTCGATCCATTGGTCCAGCTCTTTGGTGAACGTCTTGTCCTCCATATCCAGCAGCACCTCCCCGAGCTCCCCCCCCGGGACAGCCAGCTACACAATACGGCACAGTCACGGCGCTGCCACCTTCTCCTGTCACACCCTCCTCCCTCCTCCAGATGCCGGGCCGCGGCGCTGTATGTGGAGCACAAGGAACGGCGGTACACCCGCTGCGTGTCAGAGGAGGAGGCCGCTGCGCCGCTGTGTCGTTCTTTCCTTCCTCCTCCTCCTCATTCAATCTCGCCTTCACCCCCCCGAGTACCGGGAGCGCGCCCCGAATAGAAGGGAGAGTGCTATTGCGCACGAAGACGCCAAACGGAACGACGGGAGGAGCCAAAGAGAGAGGAGCGTGCACGTTCACAGCATACAGTGGTAAACATCGGGGACACGACGTAGAGTAGACGGGCGCGTGCCCGCAGTCGTCGTTGCTAGGCTTTGGAAGAGCTCAGCACAGTCACACTTTACGGCTCTCTTTGGTTGGGCGTGTTCTACGCATGCGAGCTAAGTTTCTTTTTTTTTTTTTTATCCAGTGCACTTTATTAACAGCTTTGACATTGTGAACTGTGTAGCACTACCTCCTTAGGAGTTGCAGAAGATTGGGGCCACCCTATAGACCTGCACAGCCAAGCAATACGCATTCTCACATCCACTTGCATCCAAGAGTCAGTGGCCAGTCCTTGAGCTTGTTTTGATGTTTTATTAGGGGGTTTTAGAACTCGGATGGGGTAGGAGGTTTACAGGATGCTCAAAAGAACTGACCAACTGAGGATGCCTTCCTCAACTTTATACAAATGGTTCCAGCAACTCTTTTGGAGAGCGAGCCTGCGTCTCCTGTGGTACCACCATAGATGCTTCTCTGCATGGAGGAATCCCTGAGTAGGGGATCCAATGCCTGTCACTTTAAGACAGTCCCAGGTGGTGGCTAATCCAGTTTCCAACTAAAGCAGTTCTTAAAATTTCGAGTCAACCTACTAGCCACACACAAACCTTACTCTCCACCAGTTGCCCCACCCAACCTTGCCCAGGTCTGCCAACAACCCCACCCCTGGCCCATCCCCCAACCCTGCCCCCAACCACATCCCCTTAAAGCTATTGAAATTACATTTTCTTTAGAATAAAGAGTCCAAAATATAAAAAAACTGCAATTATAACATAGCTTTATTATGTCAATTTAAACATAATAGCAATAGGGTGCAATCAAAATATCAAGTTTTACAGCTTTAAACCTGTAGTAAACATTTTGTATTATTATTGTTAATCTCCTGCCTCTTTAAAAAGAGACATTAGTAACTAAAATTATTTTTGGCAGTTCAGGTTAACGGCAGTTCAGATTAAACAAGGCAGTCCTCCAGCCGATGCCGGCTTCCGTGTTCCGGTCCCTGTGAGCATTGGGACGTACGGGGGCCGGAACCGGCGGCAAATTTAAAAATTTTAAAAACTGTAAGTTTTTATATAAACGAATATTACATAGTAAAACATTACTGTATCAAACCATTTCACATATGTTTTGTCCCTAGTGCTTTTCCTGTGCCCTGCCTGCCTGTTCTTTCTGCCTGCATTTTGACTGTTCTTTCTGCCTCAGCTCAACGGCAGTTCAGATTAAACAAGGCAGTTCAGCTCAAAGGCAGTTCAGATTAAAGAGTTCAGATCAAAGGCAGTTCAGCTCAACGGCAGTTAAGATTAAACACGGCAGTTTACAATAACGGCAGTTGTTCAGCCCAACGGCAGTTGTTCAGCTCAACGACAGTTCAGCTCAACGACAGTTCAGATTAAAAGCAGTTCAGATTAACCTCCCTAGCGGTATTCCCGAGTGTAGCTCGGGGTAAAGTTTCAGTACCACAAGAGGTAACCCCGAGCTACACTCGGGCTTACCATGCAACGTTGCTCAGGGATTCCCTGCAGCACTCACCTTGTCCTTCGCTCCCGCGATTCGTCCCCTGCAGCGTCCCCGGCCATCTCCTCCAGCTGATGCTGGCTTCCGTTTTCCAGTCCCTGCGAGCGTCGGGACGTACGGGGGCCAGAACCGGCAGCAAATTTAAAAATTTTAAAAACGTATTTTTATATAAACGAATATTACATAGTAAAACATTACTGTATCAAACCATTTCACATACATTTTGTGCCTAGTGCTTTGTCCTGTGCCCTGTCTGCATTTTGACTGTTCTTTCTGCCTGGAAACTTAGAAAAGTCCACGGCGTCCAAAAAGCGTCCCTTTAGGTCAAAAGCGGTTTTAGAACAGCTAGAGAACAGCGATAGTAAATTAGAACCACTTGCAGAATTGAGTGATAATGATTTGTCGGGAAATTCATCATCAGACACTGAAAACGATTCTGCGACTTTGCTCAGTGATGTGCGAACTTGGCGCTATATTTCAAATTTCAGTGTTTTTGGTTTGATTATATTATTGAATTAAATTAATTATTATTTTTTTTATGATTATTTATTAAATTATAATTTATGATTTCGTGTTTCAAATTTTATCATACCCGGGATGTTTACTAGACTCTTGTTCGGACAGATTTTAGTGAGTTATTCCTAATAAATACAGGCCTACAATAAAAAAACAACATATTTCCATGCAAAAAAATGTACCGCTTTCAGCACAGAAATATGGACATAATCATACCACTAGGGAGGTTAAAGGCTGGCCTGATTGAAGGCTGGTCTGCTTGAAAGCTCCTCTGGTGGCTCGGTGTGTCTGCTGGCTGGGCTGTCTTTCAGGAGCTTGTCTCTGCAGTGCGGGGCACAGCTGCATGCTTGGTGGGTCTGACCACGCATTACAATTGTGAGGGACCAATGGTGACTCTAGGAAAATAAACAGGGTGCATATAAGATACCACAGTCAAAACTGGGAGGGCACTAATAATTTTCACCACAACTATATGAGGATGTGTTCCTATGCATAGTCAGCTACCAATTTTATTGAAAATATTTTTTTTTATTTTGAATGAAATTTGTAGCTGATTGTGCATAGGTGTGCTTTGCTTCTTTTTTTTCTTTCTTTTTTTTAAATATTTAGGCCCCAGAGAGCAGCACTAAAATGGCGAGGTTGTTTTTTTTTAACGTTGTTGGTGTTTTTTTTTTTACTCTTTTCAAAATCATTTTGCCCCCAGAACGCAGCAAAAAAATATAATTTACCTTAAGCTGGCGGGTGTAGGGATGTGCACTGTTGGAGGGTCTCTCGTTCACGTGTCCCCCATGTCGATGTAGAGCGGGCCTCTCCTCGTGTCCGCCAAGGAGGTGTAAAGTGGGTCTCTCCTCATGTCTCCGAAGGCAGTGGAGAGTGGCCTCTCTTTGTGTCCCCCAAGGTGGTGTAGAGCGAGCCTCGTGTCCCCCAAGGCAGTGTAGAGCGGGCCTTGTGTCTCCCAAGGCTGTGCAGAGCGGGCCTCGTGTCCCCCAAGGCTGTGCAGAGCGGGCCTCGTGTCCCCCAAGGCGGTGCAGAGCGAACCTCGTGTCCCCCAAGGCAGTGCAGAGCGGGCCTCGTGTCCCCCAAGACGGTGCAGAGCGAACCTCGTGTCCCCCAAGGCGGTGCAGAGCGGGCCTCGTGTCCCCCAAGGCCGTGCAGAGCGAACCTCGTGTCCCCCAAGGCGGTGCAGAGCGGGCCTCATGTCCCCAAAGGCGGTGCAGAGCAGGCCTCGTGTCCCCCAAGGAGGTGCAGAGCGGGCCTCGTGTCCCCCAAGGCGGTGCAGAGCGGGCCTCGTGTCCCCCAAGGCGGTGCAGAGCGAACCTCGTGTCCCCCAAGGCGGTGCAGAGCAGGCCTCATGTCCCCAAAGGCGGTGCAGAGCAGGCCTCGTGTCCCCTCGTGTCCCCCAAGGAGGTGCAGAGCGGGCCTCGTGTCCCCCAAGGCGGTGCAGAGCGGGCCTCGTTTCCCCCAAGGCGGTGGAGAGCGGGCCTCGTGCCCCCCAAGGCGGTGGAGAGCGGGCCTCGTGTCCCCCAAAGCGGTGGAGAGCGGGCCTTGTGTCCCCCACGGCGGTGTGGAGCGGGCCTTGTGTCCCCGAAGGCGGTGTAGAGCTGGCCTCGTGTCCCCCAAGGCGGTGGAGAGCAGGCCTCGTGTCCCCCAAGGTGGTGTAGAGCGAACCTCGTGTCCCCCAAGGCAGTGGAGAGCGGGCCTCTCCTCATGTCCCCTAAGGTAGTGGAGAGCGGGCCTCTCCTCGTGTCCCCCAAGGTGGTGGAGAGCGGGCCTCTCCTCATGTCCCCTGCGGCAGCGAAGAAGAAGCTGGAAGTCAGCTTCACAAGGAGGCTTGGAGCGCAAGTTGAACACAAATCAATCCCCGGGGTCTGGGGATCGCATTGCAAGCCACCTGCTCCATCTGTGCTCACCACAAAGGGATTTCCCCTCACATTTGGCAAGCCGGCGAGCGAAAATTTCAAGCCTTGCACTAGTGTGCCTGCTTCCCATTTCTGGCCCAGGGGGTGCAGGTATACGCACTCAGTGCCTCTCCTGTGCTGCCGGTAGGTCGGTGGCTGCTACCAGGCCTTCTAGCTGAGCCACTCCTTCTGTGCCTCACAGGTGGTCCTCTCTCAGGGGGCCAGTGAAGTCCCAAGTTTTCAGCCTTCGAAGGTCCTCTGCCTGTAGGTGAACCCCTCTCCATTTGGGCCCTCTCACAGGCTCCTGCCTCCCATCCTCATATGTGGTCCTCTCTCAGGGGGCCAGTGAAGTCCCGAGTTTTCAGCCTTCGAAGGTCCTCCGCCTGTAGGTGAACCCCTCTTCATCTGGGCCCTTTCACAGGCTCCTGACTCACAGACTCACAGGTGGTCCCTCTCAGGGGGCCAGTGAAGTGCAGAGTTTTCAGCCTTCAAAGGTCTTCCGCCTGCAGATGAGCCCCTCTCCATCTGGGCCCTCTCACAGGCTCCTGCCTCCCAGCCTCACATCCTCCTCAGCTCTCCTCCAACTCCTGCAGCTGAGCAGGCTACGTTACTCTTAAAGGTTATCCTGACCCCTTGCCAAGCCTCCTGTTGGGGATCAGCCAGGGTGCTCTAAGAGTACTGACCAGCCACTCCACAAGTCCTAC